TAAAAATATGCAATTAGCAATTTCAAACTTTCAAGAAAAATTAATTGAACAAACTTATTCAAATTTACCAAATATGCCTTTTGGTAAAGAAAAAAAGCGTGTAATAAGTTCATCACATACAAAAAAAAATTTCAGAATCTCAAATAAAAACAAAAGCAAAACCAATCCAAATAAAACAAAGAATTACTTGAATATTGCAAAAAAGAAATTCAAGATTTATTAGATAAAAAATTAATAAGAAAAAGCTAATATCGTGAGTTGTGCTGCTTTATATGTTAACAAAAATGCTAAAATAGAAGAGAGGAACTCTAAGACTTGTTATCAATTATAAACCTCTCAATGATACTTTACAATGGATAAGATATCTCTTACCGAATAAGTAAGATTTATTACAAATATTAACTAATGCAAGAATGTTTTCCAATTTTGATTTAAAATCAAGATTTTGGCAAATTCAAATAGATGAATCAGACAAATATAAAGCAGCTTCTACTGTCCCTTTTGGCCAATATGAATGGAATGTAATGCATTTTGGTTTAAAAAATGCTCTAAGTGAATTTCAAATAATAATGAATGATATATTCAATTCTTACACCAATTTCACAATTGTATATATTTATGATATATTAATTTTTTCTGAAAATATTCAATCTCATTGGAAACATTTAGACATGTTCTTTTATATAATCAAGAAAAATGGTCTAGTCCTATCACCAACAAAAATAAGTTTTTTTCAAACAAAAATAAGATTTTTAGATCATTATATAAATAAGGTACAATAGTTCCAATTGAAAGAGTTTTAATTTTTGCTGACAAATTTCCAGATGAAATTAAAGACAAAAATCAATTACAAAAGTTTTTAGGTGGTCTCAATTATGTTAGTAATTACTTGAAAAAATTAAGCAAAATAACAACACCACTTAGGTAAAGACTTAAGAAAAATCCACCTCTTTAGTCACCAGAGCATACTAAAATAATCAAATAAGTCAAAACCTATTTAAAAACTCTCCCATGTCTACATTTGGCAGACCCAAAAGCCTACAAAATTGTAGAGACCGATGCTTCTGACATAGGTTATGGAGGTATCCTTAAGTAAAAATCTTTTGGACAAACCCAAAAACAATTAGTTAGGTTTACATCAGGAACTTGGAACCAAGCCTAAAGTAACTACAGTACTATCAAAAAAAAAAAAAAATGCAATTGTGTTATATGTTTCAAACTTCAAAATGATTTGTTAAATTAATAATTTTTAATAAGAGTTGACTGCAGTGCAGCCAAACATGTTTTGCAAAAAGATATTCAAAATATTGTATCAAAACAAATTGTTGTAAGATAGCAAGCAATTTTATTTGTTTTTTATTTTAAAATTAAATATATTAAAAGAGAATCAAATCCCATCATTGATTTTCTAACCAGAGAATTTTTACAGAGAAGCTCAGACCAATAACCATGCCACTTAAAAAGAACACTTCAAATCCCAATCCAACCCAAATAGGCAACCAAAAAACCACAAAAGCCTTATACGTCTCGCCAATAACTCAAACACCTGCACCCCAAGCTATTCAATTGAGGCCAATCTCTGAAAAAGATTGGTATGCAATAGCATTACAAGAAGAATAAGAATATGCCCTCCAAAAATTTGGACAATTAGGGCCATTTACTAGTACTGCCTCTGTGGCAAGACCCCTTACCCAAACATTTGCAAACTTTGTGGTTGCAAAGCCACAGTCTGGAGAAGCATCTAGCTCCTTCATTTAAAAACAAAGTTCAAACACCCAATATTCCTCTCAAAAATTTCAATATTTAACAAAAACTGGGTGTGAGTAAAAAATTGTTTTATTAGAAAAAGGTTTTTGGGATGATGATCCCTTAAAAATTCCTCCCAAAGTTTTCCCTCCAGAATTTCAATTTATTGCCTCAACTGTTTCAAAAACCCAAAGGTTCTACGAATGTATTCTCGTAGACGCTTATTCAATTTCAATCAAACATGATCCTGATAATCAAGATCCAACACAAATTGCATATTTAACTTGTCAAATTCGCCAAATTTTGACCCAGAACAGTGAGGCTAACATCCAAATCAAAATAGAAAAATTTCTCAAATTTTTTTTCCTCCAATTTTTAATTATTGGGACTATTGAACAGCATTGGTGCAATATTTTTCTTTTCCAAAACAAATCATTCAAACTTTCTTGAATGATTTATTTTAGCAAAACTTCAATTTTAATTTACCCTAAATTGGTTATTCACTTAGTGGTTCCATTATGGTCCACTAGCTCAAATTCTTCTATTCCAAACACAAGACGAGCTCAATATTTTTCAAGAAAAATTCAAAATTCTTGCTTCTATGCCCAACTTCCAATCATTTTTACTTCTTCTCAAAATTTTGTCTTGCCTAGATAGTATCTGGGGATTATACTATCATCTAGCGAGATTTCTTATATATCGCAAGAAACTTTAAAATCAAATGGTGTGACCAATTCGATTTTGAAGCCGTCCTCCCACTAAATTTCTTAAAATTCTTCCAAATATCCACCACCAATCCCGCTGTTCTAACAGCAGGTGACCCTCAATTTCTTTTGCAAAAATTCAAAAATATTGTTGAATTGTCCTTAGCCAAATCTAAGAAAGAATATAAAAGATTAATCATTCAAACACTACATTCTCTCTCTAATTTAGATGAGGATGAGTGCACACAATCACTCTCTTTTGGTTCTCAATATCTATCAATTGATTTTGCCCAAGAAAATGAGGATGATTGTTTTGGCATCTTTCCACCAATTTAGTAATCACAAAAAAGATCAAGCTCATTAAAAGTTAAAAGAAAGGGTAAAAGTAAGAAGTGAGTAGGCTATATCTGCTTTCGCCCAAATTACCCTATTAAGAAAAAAAAGAAAAAAGAGAGGCAAGAAAAAAAAGAAAAGAAAAAGAAAAAGAAAAGATGGTTCGCACTAATTATCAAACACATACAAATCAAGAAGACCAATTCAAAAAAGGACAAAGAAGTCACTATTTTCAATTTTAAAAAAGGACAGAGAGGTCACTAGTTCCAAGTTCAAATGACGAAAAAAGCATTATTCAAGGATTCAAATGGTTCAAATGGAATGACATTGTCACAAAGAACCAGTTGCAAAAGTAATAGGCGTAAATTATGCCTAGCAAAGCACATGCAAGATTCCTGACAAAATCTGTAAAAGCAATTCATGTGATCAAATTAATTATAATTTTATGTTGCTTCATTTATGGAGTCTATATATTAAGACATTCGAATTATGTAAGTTATCACTTTGGCTTCCACTTGAGAAACCATTTGAACCTCAATTTCCCTTGTAAACTCAATCCCCTTTGTATCCCAAATTGTATTCTCCAATTTTATCAATGCAATTTCAATTGAAGGTTTAATTTTTGTAAGTATTCAATTTATGTTTTCAATATTTACATTTAAATTCTGTATTTTAAATTTATCATTCTTCAAAATATTAACTTATTCCTGGGCTTACTTTGGTGTGCCTGTATATATATAGGCAGCTACAGCCATTGCCAGTAATAGGAGGCTGGATGCTGCGTCGCAAGCCACCACAATAACTTCACCTCTGAAATCCCCATTAGGAACTCAACTTGTCTTTAGATATGCTTCCGAGTAGCTCATTTTTTCTGGAGAAAAGAAAAACTAATGGATAAATCGAAATTGTATCCGCTGGATTAGATTTTCTGCCTTTTTCGAGCATGAAACAATCCATCTTCAGCACCGCATTTCTCAAGTTCAAAGACAAAACATATAACACCGACTGATTTTCAAGTCTGTTAACTAAATGGCATCCCAGCCATGAGGGTAAAAAGTCATAAACAACAAATAAATATATTAAATAAAGGGGAATATACATATATAGATTTATACAGAGGAATAAATTTCCTCTCTATTGAGCAATATCTCAGTCCAATCCCATGGAAAACAAAGGACAATATCAAATATTTTTCCTAAGAATGGAAGCCTGGATCCTCTGAAACCCTAAAATCTCATTGCAGAGAATCAAATTTATGGATGATGTGAACATAAAAATGTTATGCAATAAAAAATTAAAATGAAAAGATTAAAGAAAAAAAAAAGGACTATGGATAAAAGGACTTGCTTCTATTGTACAATTTGCTTTTGCTTGGTGTTGTTTATAACGAATGATAACATGAACCGTTACAATATTGTGCCTAGCAGCCACATGTGCAAGAACAGGCTATAGGCAATGACGCTTATCCTCGCTCTTGGATGACTCATCAGAGCTCTACCACCAGATACCCTGAATAAAAAGGAAAAAATTTGTCAATTTGAAGAAGGTAGACTGGAAAATCAATCTTCAGTCAGTTCATAATTGTCACTATGTTTCAGATAAAGGTTTCTTAATGAAAATGTTAAAACAAGACACTGTTGAAAGCAAAAGCAAGATAGCCCTGCATAATATAATAATTTCTCTTCTTAGCTTGTCTGAATTTGTTTTTTGAAAACAGTTTTCTGTTTTTGGAAACAGAAGTCCTGTTTTACAAGCTATTTTTTGAAAATTGTTTCTCGGTGAATTTTCAAATACAGACCATTTGGAGAAATGAACAAAACATTGCCTGCAGAGTTCTCAGAAACTAATTATGATAAAAAAATGACAATGATATGAAAACAACAGAGTTTTCAATATTTTCAATGTTTCTGTATTCTAAAACAGCAAAAAAGGGGGGGGGGGGGGGATATGAATCCAAACAGATAAGTCTCCCCAATTTTCCTCCATCTTCTCAAGGCAATTTATTCCAATGCCTAGCTCACCACAAAACCAATTAAAATGCAGAAGCAGAGTTTGGGATCAACTTTATGTTTTCTGTATGTCTAAATCTATTTTATGGAGGCTTTCTAATCTTGAAGTCACTGTGTTCACTCATCCCTGGTTATTTCTTCCCAGCAACTAAAACATTTGGTTGTAATTTGTAAAAGCCATGGAATGGAAGTAGAAATTGGCAGACAGTTACCAGATTCCATCAATTCGATCTGCGATCATCTTTCCATGTCTTGGAATGAGACCCGATGTATTAAGAGACTTAAATACATGACCTGTAAAAACAGAAATCCATTTAATTTGCAAATTAATGAACTTAGTCCATAGGAAAGCAAACAACCTTAAGACATACACACCTTTATCTTCATCTGTTTCCTCTTTATTGACCAAATGGTCAGACTCTGAATCAATACTGATTGCAAGGTGGTCGTTACTTGATCCCTTACGTAGGGTTCGCACATGAGCAGCAGAAGGGGCAGAAGCAACTGCTTTCTTCCCAATTGGTCCCTGCATCAACATTTGGAAGCAATGGATTTATGGATGAACCTTCTCTCTCTCACTCTCTCTCTTTCTTCTATGTAGGTGTAATGTTAATGAAAAGTCGTAATTAGCTAATTGCAGATTTTGGAAGGCAAGTTACATAGAAATTATGTCAGCATCATGTCAAGGTAATCAAGCATTACTGATGACTAATATGCTCAAAACACCTTAGTAACTAGAGCGTTCCTAGTTTACATTATTTACTGTAAACTCAGGTAGCTAATTGAGCAGGCAGAGAAATTAGTATCAACAAAGTGCCATTAAGCTGATAGCTATGCCTTTTCCCATACCAGGTTGTTGAGATAATACTTCCAGAGATGCATTAAAACTACTCAGAGTATCAATAACGAATCAACCTAGTATGAAATATGTCCAACTTCTGGAGTAACTCCTTAAGATGAAGAGTCTTTGCATTGCAAGGGGAAGTACAAACAGGTGTATGCATAAATGGAGGATAGCTCCTCCAAGGGCGGCAAAGGTGGAATTCAGCCTTGTCATGTTGTCAGAGTTCTGTTTGATGAGGGGCCTCTTTAAGGCTTTATAATGTTTTAGAGTTTTTCCTAGTTCCTTCTCTAAAAAAAAAGGTGGGGGGAGGTGATCTTTTCTCTCCTTTTATATGCAAAATTCATTTATATCAAAAAACATACTGTTATAGCAGTAGAAAAATCTTTAACGCTGTTAAAGAAAAGTGACCAACTGCATTATATATGTAACTTGGAAAATTAAAAGTTTTTATTTTTAAAATTTTCTTTTTAAAACAATCATGAGGAACCCCACAACATATAACATCTTCAAGATTTGTGCACACCTGATATAGAAAATGTTAGAAAAGGCAAAGGAGTTCAAATTGGTGAAAAGTTGGATACAAGCCAGAAAAGAAAAGAAGTGTAAAAGAAATTATAAATGTCACTGTAAATAATAACATGCAGTGAGCATGATTCAAACTTCAAGAGACAAATAATGCAGACACACTTGCAAAATAGTCAATAAATTGAAAAGGGACAATTATGAAAACCACTCTTACCACGTCGTCAACTTCAGTTATCTCTGAACGAGGAGGCAAAGGAGGTGCTTCAAACATGCTTCTATCCTGAACACCCTCCAGTGTAGGGGAACTCTTTTTATTAGAATCTTCAAGCAGTTTAACCTTGGTTGATAATTCCTCCACAACCTTCTGACTTTCAAGTAACTGGACACTGAGTTCCTGTGCTTTAGATTTTGAATTTTCGCAATCCAAAATTATGGACGTGACCAGCTTTTCCAGCACCGGTAATACTTCCATCACACCAGCAGATTTTTGCTCTTCAGCAAAATCATTACCAGGCAACCTGTAAACAAGATTTTCTAAGCCTAATCTGATTTCAAATAATTCACTCTTCATTTTGTTAGAGTCTTCCTTTTCTCTATTCTGTGCTTTAAATTCCTCCTTGAGACGTTCAAAATCACGAACTTGTTTTAGAAGGGTAGAATGCAGCTCTTCATTGTTATGAGACAATAAGTTCATCTGGTCGCGCATCAAAGCAACAGCATCAATTACGTAGAACAGCTTCTTTGCAATGTCTGAATCCTGGAACTCTGTATCTCCTACTTTTAACTCTGCAAAAGGAACTTCAATGCCATTTATCTTATCATAAAGGGATTTCAGTTGGGATGGTGACAGAAATGAGTCTTCATCCTCTGCACCAATAAATCATCACAATGTTAGAAGCTACAGTAAATTAATATATCTATATATTCAATTATATTTAGCATGATTGTACCAAAAAAAAAAACTACCTCGTTCTTTTGTCAATAAACTATTCTGCAACAGTGAAATTTCTGCTTCTCTGTCATGCAACTTACCCTCTTTTGCCTGATAATCCTCTAATTTGAACTTCATTTCTTGGTAGGAGTTTTGCAATGCTTCCAAGTTACTCTCCAACCTCAAAACCCTATTTTGATTTAAGTCTTTTTCTTCCGTGGCATATTCCAGCATTGTTCTGGTTTCTGCCAATTTGATCTCTAAATCTTTGATTTCAGTGGCCAACACATTTCTTACATCCCCAAACTTTTTAGCAAGAGCAGTAACTTTCTTAGCAGCCAGAAAAAGGTCGTCTGTGATCTTAAAATATTTGCTGCTGTCAAGCCTATGCTGGTCTGCATCTACGCCAACTTCTCTCACTTCAGAGAAGCTGCCGGATTTCTCCAGCTCAGGCATAAAGTTCAGTTCCACTAGATAGTTCTTAACTTCATTCTCCAGCTCCTGAGTAGCACCAGTACAGGCAGATAGTAAAACTGTAACATCATTTTCCAAAACTGCTATTCTATTTTCCTGTTCCTGTCTATCCATTTCCAAACTACCTACTTCTTGCTTCAACGACCTCATTTGCTGAACCTGAACTATTACCACATCTCTTGTTGCCTGTAATTTGGTCAAAATAGATACAATGAACTCATCCATGGAAGTAGAGAAACCTTCAAGTTTATCTGCAAGAATCTTGTCCCTAAAACGAAATGCTTCCATTGTTTGTCTAAAATATGACTCAATACTGTCATTTCCCTCTGTTCTGCCATCCCCATTGCCCATTCCAATATTAGCCAAGTCGTTTAGGCCAGCTGAAAACTTTGACAAATAAGAACTTTCCTATATAAATATACAGCAAGAGAGAGAAATCTGATCAGTGCAAATAAAATTTTAAATAATCAAACCTCCAAACAAGACTCTTGGAATCTTCCACATGCATGCATATACGGACACAAATTAAAATAAATGGAAAGCAGTTACATAGCATGGGATCTAATTTCAAAAATAAAGCAGCAAATATTCACAAATTTGTTACCAGATATTAACTTTAGTATTCAATCCCACTCTACAGCACCTCATGTTGACAAGATCATAATATTACTTATAATTCAACATAAAAAAGAATGAGGTAATATTTCACAGTCAAGACAGAGTTGTGTATGTGATGCTGACTCTATCAAGTGCTTGCAAATATTTGAGTTAAGATGGAGTTGTGTATGTGATCCTGACTCTATCAAGTGCTTACAAATATTTGAGCTGAGTAATACATAACAAAAAAAATGAGCAGGAATCAAAAGCTAAATGTTCCTAACAGATGCACCACACATTCAGTATCCCAGTGCCCCAACATCTCCAAAAAGAGATATATTTTTTTTCATTGGATGAAGGGGGGATTTGAAGTAGTAGAGAGATGCATATCAGATATAATTATGTGCCCAGCAGTTTTGTAAAAGCCATCTATACAAAATCTCACCATTACCTTTTTGATAGGGTAACTTTGTAGTGTTTCTGACCCTATTTCAGTGAAATGATCTTTTATGTCTTTTAAGAGGAGGTCCATATCTTTGAGGCTCTCGATTTTTGTCTCAAAGCTCCGTGTGAGCGAAAATAATAGCGTCTCATCTCTCAATAGCAGCTCAAGATTCTTAAGGTGACTGGAGAGCTCTGCAGAACTACTTTCTAATCTGCCACTGGTTCCAGCCAACTCTTCCACACATGCATTTAACTTGGTATTGAGTGTAGAAATCTCCTCTTCAGCATTTTTCTTTTCATTGGCAAGTTCAGATATATTATTCTGTGTCTTCAACAATGCATCTTGCAGCGACTTTATTGTTGTGCTGGCATCTGCAAGCTTGCTAGCCTGTAAATCAGCTTCTTCTTTCAGCTTCTTCATTTCATTCTCCAAATTAGTTCTACCAACTTGAGCATTGTTATTTTCCTCAGCAAGCAAAGAAGCATTTGTCTCCACTTGAAATAGAGCATCTTCAAGTGATTTTATAGTTCTGTAGGCTTCTGCAAGTTTGGTACTCTGAACAGTGATTTCCTCCTTCAGTTTTTCCAGCTCAGTCTCTGCAGCAATTCTATTAGCTTGAGCATCTTCTTTCTCATTCAAAAGAATGGAAATCTTATTCTCACCTTGTGACAAGGCATCCTCAAGCAACCTTCTTGTTTCACAAACTTCAGCAAACTTGTCGGCTTGGGAAGTAGCTTCCTCCAGTGCTTTCTGTAGCTCTTGTTCCACATATGTTTTACCAACTTCTAGTTCCTTCTTTTCCTCAAGTAGTTTAGAAACATTAGTCTCTGCAATTGCAAGTTCCTTTTCTGATGCTTCTTTAGCAGTATAGGCTTCTGCTAATTTACTGGAAAGAGAAGTGGCTTGCACTCTTAGTTTCTCTACCTCCTGCTCCACAAGGTTTTTCGCTACCTGACATTCACTGAGATGCCCTACAAGCCACTGTGCCTTCTCTACAGGTTCATTAAAAGTTAAACCATCTGGAAGAACAATACTGTCAATTGATTCAATCACTTTCTGCAGCATGCCATTGCTCTCTGCTAAGAACCCCTCCAGTTGATCCTTGCTATCTTTTGTGGTTTCAAGATCAGCCTCCAACTTGGGGATGAGTTCCACATTAGTAGACAATTTATGAATCTGTTCCTTGCAATCACCAAGTGCAGTTTTTAGCTGCTGTAAATCAAGATTTAACTTTTCAATTTCTGATGATTTTTCATCAATAAGTTTCTTCAAGTTCTCCCGCTCTTGAACTAGTCCCTTGCCTTTCTTAACAGCCATTGATAATTTTTCCCTCACCAGAGCAGATTTCTCCTCAGAACGTTCAAGATCTTTCTCCAACACACTTTTTTCATCTTTCACCAATTGAAGTTCTTGAGATACAGCTCTCAACTCATCTGATAGATTATTCACCTTTGATCTAATGAATATCTCCTCGTCCAATAATTCCTCACATAACATCAGCTCCTCATAACTTATATACAGCAGAGTTTGGATTTTTTCAAACATTTCTGGTTCAACACTGGAAGTTTTAGAGGAAGCATTACACTGTTCTTTGACCTTACTAAAACATCTGTCAATAAGCATCTCTACCTCAGAGGCAGGTTGATATCCCTCTTCTTTAGAGTCAATTGTAACTCCAGACAACTCTATGAGCATGTTAACTATCTTTTCCTTCTCCAGTGAAGCCTGATACTCCTTTTCCACTAGCTCTGTGTTCTTCTGGGTTAGCTCTTCTAACTTCCCTTGGATGTTAACCATCTGCTCCTTCTCCAGTGAAGCTTGATACTCCTCCTCCTCAAGCTCTTTGTACTTCTGAGCTAGCTCTTCCAACTCCTCTTTGATGTAATGCTTCTCTTGTGTTTCTGTTATAAACAATGTGGTTAGATGCTCTATTCCATTTTGGGCAGCTTCAGTGATCCTAGAAATTTTATCTTGCAGTTCATTGGTTTGGCCCTCAGCCAGTGAAAATGATTGCACAAGCCAACTTACTTGGGACTCCAAGTTGGAAGACGAAACAGTCTCAGGTAAATCCATCAAAGACAAGGCATCTGCCACTTTGTTAAGTTCCACTGTAACACCCATCAAAGTATTTCTCTCATCCACCAACCATCTAATTCTCTCTGGTATATCTGCTGACCAAAGTTCTTGTGGTGCAGGGATCTGAGACAAAATCTCTTCACATTTTGTGAAAATAACGTCCCTTTCAGAGAGTGCTTCCTGCAATGACATGGCCAAATTTTCAGTTCTAACAAGTTCTTCCCTCCTCATTTCAGAAGCCTCAAGGGCACTTGACTTCTCCTGTAACTCAGTCAGACATTTCTCAAGCTCACTTGTTTTCTCAGCCAGGGACTGTTTGAGTGAATCTCGCTGCTGAACCAATGCCTTTCCTTTTGTTACAGCCATGCCAAGCTTTTCTTTGGTATTCGCATACCTTGCTTTCTCCTGTTCAAGTTCTACTCTGAGCTTTTCAACATCTGCATTAGCCATCTCTGCCATCTCTCTCCCTTTCTCAAGCTGTTCCAGCAGTTTCTTGTTATCATCTTCCAAGTGACTTATTTTTTGAGTCAGCTCTGCCTCCTTTCCTTTGAGCTCAAAAAAGACATCATGAGCAGCACCAAAAAATTGAACCATATTCATCTAGACTGATATCTGATCTGACATCGGTTAAACACTGCTTGAGTATATCAATTTCAGAAAGGATATGGTTATATTTCCCAACTAGCAGAGACATTTTTTTCTCAACACAAGACATTTTCCCCATAATAGAGTCATCCAACAAATCTTCTTCATTAATTGTCATGGCAAGAGAAGATAATACTCTGTTCACAGTAGCCTCAATATGTCGTTGCTCATCCAAAACCTCTGGAAACACTTTAAATGAATCACACCAACTTTCCTGAGCTCCACTTAAGAAAGAAACAATAACCTCTTGAGACATAGACAATTCAGTAAACTTCACATGAAGATCTTCAATTTCCTGATCTTTCATAGATAGCATTGAATGGAGCTCTCCTACTGTTCCCTCAATCTGTGAATGCTCAGCCAACGCACTTCCAACAAAACTGGAGCATTCATTTATCAGCTCATGCAGTGGATTATCAGAGAAAGATATCCTTTCAACCACCTCTCCTATATCTGCTTTATGAATTCTTTCAGTCAAACTACTATGATGTTCATTAAGCAATGACTGTTGAGCATTCAGACCCTTGAGCTGACAGAGAAGATCAGTGAGTTCTTTTATGAAGGCATCCTTTTCTTCCTGCATGAAAAGCACAATCAGTACTAAGGCCACTTGAACAACAGAATAGAAAAGGCTACAAGAATTTGATGTGTAACCTTGCATTGCTGCACAGAACTTTCTTTCTCACCAATGGTTTTCTCAAGCATAGCCCTCAGGTGTACCAGCTGATCCATCAATTCATCAACTCTCATCCCATTCTCCGACTCATGAACAAAGGTTCCTTGCATGTCCTCCTTTCCATCTGACCGCTCCTGGTTTGCAAATCCAGTCGCCTCCCTATTATCAGAACTTGCTAACTCCTCTGAGCAGTCAACAAACATGTCATCTTTTCCTCCATCAGTAGTTTCTATAGAATCAATCCTTTTCATTACAGCCCTGTTACCATAGTCAGCTCTATCCCCCCCAGTGGAACTGGATTCCTGCAGTTGTTTCCAATCATATTAATTAAAATAGGGTCCCAAATTAAATTAGAACCGTGAAGCAGAAAAAAATACTCAGACTAAGGTGAGCTTACGGCCAAACATAAAACCTTTAGCAACAAGCGAGGAATAGAGAGGTAAGTTCCCGTTCCACACTTAATTTAGCATTTTTTTGGAAAAGTGCAAATACTTTCAGCACCAATTCATAGAATGCTAGTTTAGCATCAAGTTTATGTTTCAGCTCATATAACTACAAACATGGACTTATTGACAAGTTGAGAAACGTATTACTACAAATCTGACCAAAGGCCAATAAGATAAGTGACTAAGCACCTAATAAACAAAATCTTAGATATAAAACAAAGCTAAGGTCTTTCCAAGAACAAACAACTTTTCCAGTACCTGATTAGCTGTATCATCAGCTACTTCAGCTCCATTACCGGCTCCAACATTAGCTGAAGCATTCTCGCCGCCGACGCTTCCTGTTGCATCTTCTACAGATTCAGAACCTTCCAACACCTGCTCGGCATCACGCTTCTCCGACATCTTCTCCAATCATAATCCTTCTCTAAATGCAGATCTGCAAAAAAGTTGCCAATTCATAGGAATTCAATCCTCTCACTCGCATTCCAATAAGTTCGACGGAACGACGTGATTCGTGACATAAACGTCAATCACAGTGCGTGAAACAGCTACATAAACAACAATAAAAAATGAATAATATAATAGAAGAAACCCTAGAAATTGACCAGGTAAACCAACGTAGCAGTTCCGAGCTAACCTGGAAAGCGAAATGGAATTGGAATTAGCCTGAAGAGTCCACGAGGTAATCAACCCGATCAAGAAGAATGAGGTTGAGATTTCGAATCGTCGGCAAATTACGAAGAAGAAGAAGGCTCTCCAAAATCGATCCGAGAATTGGAGGGAGCGAAACGTGGAGGAAATGTTCCGGCTCTGGGCGTTAGTTTCCTTGGTCGGTCGAACGGCGAAACGTCGTCGTTTTCCATCTCTGCCGAAGGCCGCAGTGTCGACGTGTCCTTTTGTCTTCTCGCCGTTGAAAGTACCCCGTGAAAAGCAGAATCAGCGAAACGCAGGCGTTAGTTATTTCGTTTACAGTTTGTGGAAGGAAAGCCGTGGTTGATCAAAATAATTCAGAAAAAAATAAGGTATTAAGGCCACAAGATTAAGAAATGCTAAATTTCCTGCAGAGTTTTTAGTAAATTGCACCTTAAGAAGGGGTGATGTGGTGCAAATGTTAAAATATTAATACTTAATACTACAATTATATCAAGATATTTTTTATTGTAAAATTTACGAATAAAATTAAAAATTTATATTATTAATAAGTTAAAAGGCTAAAAATTGACTTGAACTCATTTTTCCATATTTTTACTCTATTCAACATTCTCTCATTTTTTTTAATACTTCTACTCATTTCTTTTATAATTTGATTCATAAGTCATGACTCAAATGTGCAAAATTTCATTTTATTTTTAGAGTAAATATAATTTTATTATATTGTATGTTTTAAATATTACACGAAAACAATTTTTTAATTTATTTATTTTTAAAAAAATTGTTTATTTGTAGTAGATAATTAAATCACATGAAAAAAGAGAAAATTTAAAATATTTTTAAATTTGTATTATTTTTAATTTTTTTATTGTATTACTTTTGTTATTGAGTGATAATGATGATATGAATTATGGAAAGAAATTACACGGAGGGTTGTGAGCTTTGAACTTTTAAAGTTTTGAAGAAGGAGACGATAATAAAAGTGTTTCCTAACTATTTATTGGAGGCTGTGAGTTTAATAATTATGTATTATAACTATTTATTTTTTATAAAATATATAATTGATAATAAAAGGAATTTATACTGATTAGAATTTAATGAATTAAAAATTATTTAATAATAATTAATAATTAAATTTATTATTAATTACTAAATAATTAAAACAATTTATAATTTAACTTATTTAATTATATAATATGTCTAAACCTACTCAAATCCATTAAACTTGCCAAAAAATGGCTAGAATAGGGGGAAAAAATGCAAAACAGATTGTCAAAGTAAAAATTATAAAATATAAAAAGAAAAAAAGTGAATAAAAATGTTTAGTTATATACAAAATTGAAATATAAAAAATAAATATTTTGTTAAAAATTATTCTTTTCGGTTCTTCTCTCCATCTTTCAAACTTTGGATTCGCATCATATCCTCTCCATCTTCAAACTTTAGAGGTTCAAGGCTCCCAGCCTCCATTTTAACTTTACTCTCTTCAAATTCATGCTATCTTTTTTACTCAATAATAAACGTAATAAAATAAAAAAATAAAAAATAATACAAAATTTAAAATATTTTAATTTTCTTTTTTTAATGGTCATATTCTCCAACAAAAAAATTATAGAATTATATTTTAAAAAATAAATTATAATTTTATTATTGTGAATATTTGAAACATGCAACGTCACAAATTATATTTGTCAAATGAATAAAAAATTAAAAAATTAAATTAAATTTGGCACATTAGGATAGAATTTATTAAATTACGGAAAAAACGAGTGGAGATATAGAGAAAGTGGAGAGAATATCAAATGAAATATAAATAGAGAAAAAATGGGATTCAATTTTTTTTTTTTTATGCTTTTATCCTCCAATAATACAAATTTCTAATTTTGCCCAATAAACGTTCATTTTTGGTAAGTTGGGATAATGTTGAGATATAAAATGTCAAATATTCTTATTTTTAAGGTGCTATTTATTAAAAACTCATTTCTTGTAAGCACTAATTTTTCTTTACCTATTGACTTTTTTTGCTGTTTTTTTTCCACATCGCATCTCTAAATTTGGAAATGATGACAGGATGCTCAGAAATTAATTTTTAATTCTAAATAAACTTTATAAACATTTTATTATTTGGATTAAGACTTGTATTTTAAAAAATAAGTAAACACTCCAAAGCTAATTTTACTTAATTTATAAAAATGTATTTTTAGGTAAAAAATAATTTGATCCTTGGGTAAGTTGTCCCCGCAGGGTGCTAACTAGGCCTAATAAAATGAGCCTCGAAGAGTCGTTTCCAGAGATATTGATATTGGTGCCGATCCATCGTAAATCTAAGCTCAATTTGATCACAAAAAGACATTTTAATAATTCATTTAAATCCCTAAATTAATGAACTCCAATCAATGTCATCCTCGTCCAAGTCGTGGTGAAATTCAATACAAACATCTAGTCTTCTGTTTCGTAATCTTCACTGAAACCCATTAAGAGGAAGGTGAACTTTTTCTTTCTTTCGTTTGGGCGTGTCATTCAGGGCTTGCCGATCGCGACCATAACGGGTTGTTCTGCAACCGTCAATTCCGCTGTGATGACCCACTGCCAGATCCCGCAGAGAAAGTCATAGAATTTTCGGAAACGTCCCTTCCTAAGAAACAACCAATACTTGGTTGATACTTCCCATGATACTAGGAGTTCTGTTTGGACTCTGTTCTGTTTATTGTATACCGTCGCGGGTTCGGTTCTACGGTTTTCGAAAATAAAAAAGATTAAAAATTTTGAAAACTCTATTATTGTTATTTTTGAGTAAAGATAAGAGAATTTTGAAAAACCAAATTTGTTTTTCTTGAAAATTTGGCCTGTTTTCTAAAAATTTTCTCAAAATCAGCTTTGGAAAACAAATTTCTAAATGAGAAACTGTTATGAAAAACAAGTAAATATGCATTCTCATTTTTCCAAATGAGAAACTGTTATGAAAAACAAGTAAATATGCATTCTCATATATGGACTACCGGAACGCATACCTTGCCATTGTGATGAAGTACCGAAGTACAGCTTGGAGAAGCCTCTCATGTTTCAAGGCATGCTGCGCAGAAGCAGGAGATTGAACCTCTGCTTGGAAGGAGCTTCTGCCTTCTGCCTTCTGCCTTCCACCTTCCAAAAGCTATGCAGAGGCAGGCAGGTAGCTGATGTCTTCCTTCATATCAGGGTTTCTGATGCCCATCATTCCATCAGCTGATACGAGAGCAAGATGTATAGCTGCTCCACGTCCATCGTTTAGCTAATTCCTTTTGGTGCATGCATGACATTCCAAATGGATTTAATCAGAAGTGATACAATAGAACTAGATGCAGCCTGCTTGGCACCCATATCGTCCCCTCCAAGTTTTGTAGAGATGAGTTCTCTCTTCTGCAGATCTAGATAACAGAATAGGCTAGGCCGTGCTGTTTTCAAATTCGGATTTTGGAATTCCTAATGGAGCTTTTCATTATTTCCAACTTTATCCGTTTTTCCTTTATTTTGCTATATTTCCAGCATTAAGGTCACGCCAGAACATACACGGTCCTAAGCTCCATTATAACATCTAAAAGCCAAACAAGCAAGATGCTCATTTTGAGATATGAAAAATGGCAAAAAAACTTGAAGTTATCTGAAATCAGAACTTCTATTATTGATCACAATGTGTCATACGCATACTAATCGTCGCGAATACAATACAGAAATACTCATTTCCTTATAGCAATATTATTAGAATTTTCTTACCAGAACCTATTTACATTCTAAGGTTGCTTTCTTCAATATGTACAATCTACCCATCTACTTCAGCTTAAAGTAGGTATTCATAGTGCACAAAGATAAGGCCTTCCTGTGAATCTTTTGGCAAGCTATCAATATATAGATAGAAATGCAATAAGTTCTCTCTGGAAACTGTTTCAGTGTCCATCACGTCATTGCCGCAGGTAAGGATCCACAAGTCTCTTGACTTTACTCTCTTTATGCTACCACGGCAAAACGGGCAAGACTGTGATCTTGTGTTCCTGCAAGTGAAAATCGTTTAGGTATAGAACAGTAAAACCTAAAAATCCACTGTTAATGAGCTTAACCTGTTTGAATTTGTTTTCTAAAGCAGTTCTCTGTTTTCAGAAACAGAAAACCTGTTTGGCAGGTTTTTTGCCGTAACTGTTTCTAGAAGAATCTCAGAAAACAAAGACACTTGTACAAAACAACAAAATATTCCCAGAATTCTCACAAATTATTTTCACTTGAAAATGACAAAGAGATGAAATCAGAACTTTGTTTCGAGAACATGTCTCTCTTTAGAAAACAAACAAAACTTAGATTTTCAAATTGTCAAAAACTATACTTGCTCGCAAATGAACATAATATGAAATGATAAAGTTCTGAAACATTTCAGTGTTTTACATTTACAGCAAATGAAACTGAAAACAGATAACAGAAAATGGAAAACAGGATGCAAATCCAAAAAAGGGTTACCAATCATGGTAGCAGTTGATGCACATTTCATGACAGCAATTAGGCAAAACAATTTTGGTGCAGGGCTCCAAGCAAATTCCACATTCACCTTCTCTTTCCAAATCAACAGCGGAAAACACATTCCTGCCTTCGAATCTGTTCTTGCCAACGGTCTCTGAGCCAAGATTCTCACCAACAGCATGATCAGACCTCACTAAATCATCGTGGAGCCGCTGAAGAGATGGCAATATAACAGCTGCAGTATATTTGGAGGAAAAGACAAGTATGAGTTCATAAACCCAATAAAGTGATAACTAAATTCTCACCATGAAATTAATTGTAGACCACATATTCACTTTCTAAATAAAAAATGGAGACATATATCAATTTCTAGATATACAAAAATGAATAAACATGAAATATAACAATTTTGAGCTCCTAATATTTTACTATAAAATACTTCTTCTTGAGCAGGCCTTTCACGGGTTAATGTAATTTTACATAATATTTATGCAGAAAGCAAATCACTATTCTGAGATGGAACCCTTTTCTCTCAAGTAGGCCTTACTGGTGGAATTATTTTTTCCTTGAACTGTTAGCATTAATAAAATATAGAAATGAGTAGAAGACTACAAACCATAAAAGTCCCTAATGGTTGCCTTCCTTCCATGCTTGGAAATATATGGTCTCCCATCTGTACTTACCTGCAAAGATAGTAAGTTCAATGAATGAAACAAAACGAGCAGTATTAAACTCAACGAACCACTGTTCATGAAAATATATAGGAAACAAAGCAAATGCTGATTCAATTCCCTCACTTGGAATATAGAAGAACAAAGAAAGCTATAAAAGCATTTTTATGCAAGTTTCATATCTCTTGCTTCATTATCTCAAGGAGAGACGAGATTTTCGAGAGAGGAACCAACCTTATATACAAGTATGTGACAGAAATTTAGGTATCTAGGCAGCAGACACGAGCAGGAACAATCAATCCACTGGAGGAAATACAAAAAGAGCGGAGCCAGGTGATTGTAAACCACTTTCATCTTAAGGTGTACACCACCTTCAGCTCTTGGAATTGCAAAGGCCCTGCACACCCAAAAATCAAATAAAATAAAAATTTAATCTATCAAAAATTGAACACTATCACGTAATCAAGTAATGACCTATTCACTCCAAACCTCATATTAGCTTAATCAGTTGGTGAACTTATTTTCAAGCTTTATCCGGAGCTCCCAACCTTCCATCTATGTCCATGTTTCAAAGGAAATACACTTTGTAAATTAAACTTTCATCGTCTTTAACGCTAAAATTAGAGGGGAAAACCATGTATTTTAAAGTTGGACGTCCTCTAAACAGCTCTTGGCTTCCCAACTTTCAGCTTTGAATGGTCAAACTCAAATTCTTAGGGGGTGTTTGGTACCTCAGCCCTTTTTTGGCTTACGCAAACCCAAAATCCGAAAGAGCCAAAAGCATGTTCATAGCTTCTAGGCTAAGAAGGCCATAAATTTCTGGCTTTTTCAGAATCTCTCTCAACAACCTCGGACACAACCGTAATAAAAGAAATCTTCCCACAAATGTCCAACAGAAATTACAATTCATATCAAAAATGAATGTGAGTTAAGTGTTGAAGTAGAAATAGAGATTAAATTCTAAACTGATAGCCCGTGTCTGGGAATTCCAGAACTGCACGCTTCGTTAAAGCACGATAACAATGGTAATTACGAAAACAATTTTAACTAAAATAAATTCCAAAAGGTTCGAAGGAACGAACATTTCTTTTTCTATTTTGATTGTGCGAAAAAGGGAACATCGCCTGTTAAATAAATGTGTGTACAGACAAATCAAGGCACAATAAACCCTGAACAAAACCAGTTGATTGAAATAGAAGGATAACTCACAGAGCATTGGCATGCTGGATATCGGTTTCTAGGACTTTCAGCGACTCCTGGTAAGAAAACCTTGATAACTGACCATACAACCCCTCCATCCTTCCCTCTCTGAGCTCCCTCTCTCTACATACAACAGTATATATATGGATGTTAGTGTTCAATAAACACATTTCTCGTTTACTATATATTTACGAACTGCGAGAAGAAAATGGCTTTAAAGTTCTGTATTTTCCCCCTAAATACACTCCTTAATTGATTATGAATATAATTTTGTTGTACTTGGCTCGGAAATAACACAAGCTTTAGCGATTTCAAAAGAATCAATTGTAAAAAGCACCCAAAAAAAATCTCTATAAATCTATGAAGTTATATAAATTATATATGTATATATATGTGTGTGTCAGAAATTTCTTTAAAAAAAATAAAATAGAGTCTTCTGTGAATCTATCAAATGTTACTTTTTTCTTCAACTTAATAAAAAATATTAATAAAAAGGGTTAAGTAAAAAAATAATTTTAAAAATTTAAAATAAATTTTTATAAATTTAAATTTCAAAAATTTGATAAAATTTTAATATATTAAGTGAAATCTTATCAAATTTTATAAAATTTAAATTTTAACTTTTAATTTTTTCTATCCAAATAATATAAATAAAATTTTTAAATTAAAATTTCACAAAATCCCGTCAAATCGTGTTTTGCCAACCATGAGGTTAAGCTTTAAAAAATAAAATGTAAACATCTATTAGACGGGAAAAAAAAAAAAAAACAAAAAAGAAGGAAACTTGGGCATCAAGGGTCAGTGGCGTGCTTGCAAATAAAAGGCCAATTTCGGGCCTTTTTTTATTTTTTTTTCCTTTGACAAACAGTTTGGAAATTATTTAATTTTTTCATGTGGTATTATAAGTTTTATTAATTTTATTTAAGAAATAACCCAATATTTCAAGTCAAAACAGTTAAAGCCCAATCTTTTACAATCTAAAAAATATATATCTCTATTTTCAAAGTTAAAATCGTAAAAATATTATTCTTTTAAATAATGCTTCTGCAGCACAAGCTCCAAAATATGGAATATAATATATTATATATATATGTACATATAATATATATTATATATTTATGCATATAACATACAATTTTCCTTAATGTACTATTTTATGTATTATACATACATATGTAATATACACATACACATATAATTTGTGTGTATTATATATATATATATATCATCCTTGATATTTTAACTTTTTTTACTTTAATTTTTTACATTTAAATATCATTAATTCAATCATATATAGTTTCTTGAATTTATTTTTTTCTTTATTTGAATCTGTAATATTCTATTTTTTTATATAAACATTTGTCTGAAAAATAATATATATATATATATAAACACAATTTCATAAACATATCTCAAAAATACATGATAAAATAATAGTATCTCATTACTTTTCAAATAATAAACCTTAAAAATAAATCTGAGTTTTAAAAATATATGTTTTTAAAGTTAGAAAAAAAAAAACGGCTCATCCATTTTTGTTAAATAAAATTATACAAAACTTTTCCATGTCATAAAAGAAAAAGTCCAAACCCTTTTTTATTTTTTATTTTAATCTGCCTTGATATAATAATAATAATCCATTGGGTCAGTCAGTTTGAATTGGGTTATCCAGTCATCTTGCTGATTAAGCAATGGTAGATGAAGGGCTTCTTTAATTAAGTTACTCCTGAAATAATAAGTCAAAAGTTAAGTAAGTTGACTAAAATAATTTAATATTACAAAATATTTAAATATTGGATACTGGGTATGACTTGTCATTCATCATGCTATTCTAATAAATTTGTTTAATGAATTATTTAATTATTATATTGTTTTGTAGGAAGAATGGAGGAGACAAACATGTATTATTAGATCATTTGTAGATAACAATAATTAAAAATTTGATTGAACCAGTTGAAAAATAAATGAAGATTCCATAAAATTGATAATTAATTCAAATTATAATGCAATTAATCCAAAATTTTATTCATTAATAGCAAGTTGTATTATTCTCCTGTGGAGACCTTTCTCATAATCATAGGAGCAAGATTTGTGCATTATATTTATTATGACTGTTATTGCTATGGTTGACTATAATGCATATCATTAGTTAAGATTGTATCATTCCTTGCATACTATATATACTTAAATTTCATTACAAATTAAATATTTGTGTTTATTTTTTAAAAATTAGGGTATTTTTTTTGAAGGTAATAATGAAGATTTGATGAGTATGATCTTATTAAAAAAGTTTGTAATTTAAAATAAATTGAGTAAATTTAGATTTTATCTCATTCGATTTATTAAAAATCTAAATTTAAATATATATATAATATATCTATACATATATCAATTATATATATATTATATATGATATATAATGTGACATGATATTATTATGTTACAAGGTATACTTGATTTGTTAAACCTTAATTAATAAATTATTTTATTCTTAAAAACAAAAATTGGAAATATATTTTAATTTTTTTATAAAACAAAAATACAAAATATATATATCGTTGAATTAAATATAATTATTATATATTATCAGTTTCAAGTGTTATAATTTTTGTGAATGAAATATAATTATATGATGTTAATACTTTTAAGCTAAAATTTTTTTTATTAGTTCATATTTTTTTAAATATTTCTTATTTTGATTTTGAATTTTTGTATAATGTAAAATAATAAAAACAATTCAAGAATTTAGATTTGAATTATTATTTTAGATATTAAATTTTGTTCAAATTTGAATATGACAATATTAATGATATATTTTATAAGATTTTACATCAGAATTAGATATAATATACCATTATTAGATTTAAATCCGGATATACTATGACCTCACTAGAATGTGTTTTATTGGCGGCTCTATTTTTGAGAAAAATGAAGGAAAAGATAAATATAAACTTAGTGTTTTCTATGCTCATTTTAAATTTATATATTAAATTGATATATATTTTTTTATTGTCTATATTATCTTATGTTAAGTATGACACCATGCTTATGCTATTATTTTACATACTTTTATTGTTTATAATACTTTGAGTGCAATTTATTTGATAATATCTTTGAGGGCACTACCCTCTTTTGTCACATTGAAATCAATCATACACCTCTCCTCTCTCTCTCTTTCTATACACATGCGCGCACAAGACTTATTTGAAAAAGAAAGACACTACTCTTGGAAGCATTATCAAATAAACTATCAAGGTGTAGCATGCATTGAACTGCATAAAAAGCCACCTTCCCCATCTATAAATTAATCAAACCACTTGACTTTCAAATCAAATTGTATCAAGTCTCAAGCTATTTATAAGCAATACAACTTATTTACAATTCTGTAAAATATGAGATATGTTCAACATTAATTTGACAAATTTTATTTCATTTTTGCTGTAAAGTAATTTTTATAATTCTTTTAGAAACATTTTGATATAATATTAATTTTACACAAATAAAAAGACAAATATGACAATAATGAATACAGATTACAACCCATTAGAAGCAAATCAATGATTTTGAACTGAGATAATTTAGCAAAAAAATAAATTCCGTTTATATTAGACCAAAGCCGAGAATCATTGAACTTAAATTTGCTAAATGGTAACACTTTTCTTGAGGATAGACCTTGGAAATAGTGCAAGATAATTAATTTAACTCCATAGCTAGCAGGATGGTGGTACAAATTTCTATCACCATCAATTGGACAAGCTGACAACTACCAAATGTTGAAAAGTAACCATTTTGCAAATCTTGTTTATAGAATTAATAAAACAAAAAATTACTTAAATAGGAATTTCTTAGGTATTTTTTAAATATTAAGTGTTATAAGTATTTTCCTTTACTTTTTCTCAGCTAATTTAACGTCAAAATTACAAAAAAAAAAGGACACAAGAAAAAAATAAAATTAAAAAAGAGAATAAGAAGAGAGGGGTGCCCCCGATTTGAACTTAAATAGGAGGGACGTTGGTGATATTTCTGAAAATTGTGGGTAGCGCTTTGAAGAAATGCAAGTAGTGCGATAGCGCGAAACGTGTTGAACTTCCGTCTCCAGCGAGCTCCCACTCTACCTTCTCCACTTCGCCTAAATCCACCACTTGATAGTCCAATCGCTACGCATAAGCATCATCATATATATCCACTATCAATGTGCGTATCTGTTTACCATTAACAGTCATCTGAGTCGAAACTTTAAAGTTAATCTTCAATCTGTATTGGAAACAGTTCGTGCTGTAAAATTCTAACACTGTTTTCGAGTAGATGTGTTCATCTCGCGGATGGATTTAGGCATCCGTTGGACAAATCGGGGCTCTCAACGTCGAGAAAGCTAGCAAGCAGCGTTTTGCGACCAGATTGTGCTCGTGAACTCTCTGTAGATATCTTCTCGCTTCCTTTTTGGATCTTGATGGCATCTTGGATGGCCAGGATTATCTCCTGCATCCTCGGGCGGGAGGACCCGTGCTTCTCCACGCACTGGATTGCGACCTCGGCGACCCTCCACAACGACTCGATTTTGACGGTTCCAGCGAGGGAAGGGTCGATAATGCTGTTTACATCCCCTTTGCGAATCAATGACCTTGCCTGCACAAGTACATGAAAACCCTTTGGCAGCTTATAATAAATTCTTTTAGGAGAATTTTCAAAACAAACTAGGAAAAAAAGTAGTTTTCATTTCAAATTTTCACTTGAAAATGAAAACATTTGGAAGCAATCCTGCTTGAATTTGTTTCTGAATAGGCAGGTTGTTTTCCAAAACTATCTTAAGGAGAATTTTCAGAAAATAGGTGGGAAATTTTCAGAATCCTTCAAAACTATTTTTATTTCAACATGAAAATGATAAGAAAAGAGCAGAAATTTTTGAGTAATTTCTGTTTCCGGAAACAAAATGGTACAAATAAAACTCCATATGGCCTTTAATTTTAAAGTTTTATGCTTCTGAAATGAAGAAAACTAAAAACTGAGAAGAAAAAACCCTAAAAGAACCGAAAACAAAAAATAGAATATAAATCCAAATAGACCCAGATCTCAATTCTCTGTTTGGTTTTGTTTTTGAAAACTGTAAACTACCTGTTTAAGTAATTGTTTTCACCAACTGTTCCTGGAAACAAATAAAAGATTTTCAAGGTTCTTCTACTTTTGGCAACGCTGAAAACAAAAACCAAAAACAAAAAGACCAATCCAAAATGACATATTTGTGCTTCTCCCTAATAAAACTGAGAGACTCTAGAGTGTTTTTATTAAACTTTATAGCCTTGGAGGATAGAAAATAAGTAACATAAGCCTGTCGTTTAGGACTATACTGTTCACTTCTTAAAGCACAAGAGAGTTAAATGCATACCCAGTGAACAATATTCCAATCAACACCATAATCCTCCGTGGAGACTGGCTTTCTTCCAGAGATTAGTTCTAATAGAACAACACCAAAACTGTAAACATCGCTCTTTTCAGTTAATTGCTGATTTGCATAGTACCTGTTGGCCAAAGAATGCATTATTAATTAACTGTGCAGTTTTCTGATATGCATAGCCCATTTGGACTTGGTTTTTGGAAATAGAAAACCCATTAGGTAGGTTGGCTTTTGAAAACTGTTTTCAGGGGAATTTCAGAAAGCCATTATTAGGAAACAACAAAAAGTTATTTTCAAAATTCTTATAAACTATTTTCAAATGACAGTGAAAACGATAGAATTTTTCAGTATTTCTATTTTCAAAAACACATAAAACTAAGACTGGACATGAAACAGAAAACATAATACAAATCCAAACATATAATTTCTATATAACATATATAAAATCTCTATCATGCTTACTCAGGATCGAGGTATCCTACAGTTCCCCGTGCCACACTCGATATATGTGTTAGATCTTCTTCAGCCTGCCTTGACAGTCCAAAATCAGAAACTTTTGCCCTCATATGAATGTCCAGAAGGATGTTACTTGTTTTCACGTCTCGGTGAATGATGCTTGGGTTGCATCCAGTGTGTAAGTACTCTAGTCCTACACAAATCTCAAATAATGAATTATAGAAATGACTTGAAAATTCATTTAAGGGTGAATATAGGGAAGTTCCATTTCAACCTTTGGCTGCATCTTCCGCGATACGAAGCCGAGCAAGCCAGTCCAAGTGGTTGGGGTTGGCCAGATCTGTTCAGCATATTATATTACAATTCAGGTTCATAGTTTTTAAGAACCATTTCCTGTTTTGAAAAATAGAAGAAAACCCAGAAAACCCATTTGACATGTTTTTTAGAAAAAATTTCTGAAAGAATTTTTTTAGAAAACAAGCCCAAGTTTATACAAAATAATAAGGCAATTCTTTTCAGAACTCTTAGAATATATTATAGCTTGAAAATGAAACCGATATGAAGAAAATAATGATTTGCTGTTTTTGAAAATGAAAAAAATGTCTGGCAAGCTTTCTTTAAAAATGTTTTTTGGGAGAATTCTTGGAAAGCAGGTTCCTTTTTGGAAAACAAAAAAATGTTGTTTCCAGAATTTCAAGAAACAATATTTGCTTGAAAATGAAAGTGTTCTAAAAATATAGTCTCTTCAGTATTTTAAACACTTTTTTGCTTTCATAAACATAGAAAATGAAAACTCAAAATGCAACACAGAAAACATAATAAAAACCAAAATAGACTAACATGTTTCTGTTTTCGAGAGCATAGAAAATAAAACTGAAAACAGAAAATAAATCCAAATATGAATGAGGATAAGGACAGACTATGTATGTGATCCCTCAAAGTTCCATTGTGCATGTATTCATAGACCAGCATTCGCTGATGTGCTTCTTCACAGTATCCAATTAAAGGAACCAAGTTCCTGTGATGGATTCTTGACAACAGCGCCACCTGTAAGCATCCTTCTGTAGTCAGTGACTTGTACAGAGAAGTGAACATACTACTTATGCAGTAACATATTACTGAGAAATTTTAGTTTTAGAAGTTATTATTTATTTATTTTTATAGTATTCTGGTTTCTGTTCCCAGTTTTTATCTTATGTTCTTTCCGAATAGAAAACACTGAAGATCTAGAGAACTCTATTATCTTCATATCATTTTCATTTTTGAGCAAAAATAATTTTTGAGAATTCTGGGAACAGCTTTATTTGTTATCTAAAAATGTGCCTGACTTTTGGAAATAACCTGCCAAATGGCTTTTCTGTTTTCAAAAGAGAGCTTTTTTCAGAAACAAATTCAAACAAGACCATGCATTTTCAACTATTGAAGGAAGTTTGGATGATCAAATGAGTTTGGGATGTTTGTTCTCGTTCTTCTCTCTTAATTTCTCCATCTTCTCCATATTACAAGACTACAAATTTTCAACTGTTTAAGAACATGTGGATGATCAAATGAGTTTGGGATTTTTGTGTTCTTCTCTCTTAATTTCTCCATCTTTTCCACTTTCTGATCCATCTAAAGCATGCATCTAATAGTTCCCTCTCTCCCTATCCGTCTACTAATTCCATCTCTCTCCTTTATTCTCTATGTCATGCACCAGCTATGTCATGAAATTTATGCAAGAATGACAAAGAGATTACCTCCGTCACAAATTGCTTTGTCCCGTGGCTAGTAGGATCTGCCATGATTTTAACTGCTACCTCTTTGCCATCTTTCATTTTCCCATAATAAACAGGCCCGAAACTTCCTTTCCCTATGTTCCTTGAAAAATTTTCTGTAGCTTCTTCTATCTCAGGGAGTGGAATATAGATCGCAACTCCTTCATCCATTAAATGCCCACCTCGGGCTACCGAATAGGCACTTGAAGGCTTGGTGCTGATCCGGAAAGAATCACCTAAGCAAAGAAAAGGACAATTTGGATGTGCAAGTGGAGGTACCCTCTATTATCATTTAAAATTGAGGCCAGGTTTGATTAAGCCCAAAACTCTAAAAGTGAGGACATTTGGCTTAAACTCTTAATCTCAATATCCTGACTTCAGGGTTCTTGGACTTAAAAGCCTAATGCACAAATCCTTAGGTGACTAAAAGGGAAAATAAATTGCTTTAGGTGCATACCTTTGTCATCGCTTCTGTGATAAGAATGCTTTTTTTGAATGTTGCATAGTAGTAGTAAGCTTCCTATGAGTAGTAAGGAAAGGATTGCAAGGACTCCAACTGAAATACTGACTATCAACTTGTAATGAATTTTGTGCTTCTGCTTTTGAGTTAGACCTGGATTGCCTTTATAACTGCAGTAGGAAAAGTAGTACATGCCATTCATCCCATGAAGGCCTATATTATGTGATACAAATAAAAATGAAATAAAATACTCAAAATGAAGTCCTTGATAAAATTTAAACAATATATTCACTTATGATCGGCTATTGCCTTTGCCTCATCTAGGATCTCCATCAACTTAAAAATTGATGTCTTCATTTTCATGCATCATGTGCAAAGAATCTTATTTTCTTTATTCCAGATTTCTTATCTGCAACTTCAAATTTGGGTGAACTGCAGCGCATGTGGCATTATTTTGTGAATGAAACTCCAAATATAAATTTGTCCCAAATCTTAAAAAAGTATCTGACAGTCTTGAGATTTACAGCTTTTTCTTTGAAAAGGAATTTTTATTTCCATAGAAATTTGTGTTTGGAATTTTAATTTTCTATGCCAACTTAAATTCTATGAGATTCTGCACAACAGATAAACATACTCACTTGAAAGTCACATTCCCTGCCAGTAATTCTGGAGGGATTTCCCCCATCAGAGAGTTGTTCTGCACATACCTGCCGCATATTATGTCACAATTACTTCACATTTTTTATTTGTATCACGAAAACATCTTTAAGTTAGTAGTGGCCAATCTGCTTCAATTGAGCAGTAGCCAGGGCTGTTCAGTATTGCTTTTGAAAACTGTTTTCTTTTTTTAAAAACAGAAACCCATTTTGGCAAGTAGTTTCTGAAACCTGTTTTGTGGAGAATTTCAGAATACATGTACCCTTTTGAAAAATAACAAAAAGATAAACCCAGAATTCTCCAAAGACATGAAAACAACATGGTCTTCAAAATTTTGAAGAAAACAATAAATAGAAAACAGAAAACAGAAAAAAGAATAACAATGTAATCAGGCCTTAAGATATCCGTATATAACTACGTACAGTTCTTGTAAGCTTGGTAAGATGCCAAAATAAGAAGGTAATGGACCAATCAATCTGTTGTTTTCTAGATGCCTGCGAATGGACCAAAATTAACATGGATTCTCTCATCATAAGCTGTTGAAGAACTCAGAACAATAGGTTAAGAGCTTACACAATTTTTAAGTTAATCAGACTACTCATGTCAGGGATCGAACCATTGAGGGAGTTGCCATCTAACCACCTAAGAAAAAATATAAACTGTAAGCCATTTGAGGCAGGAAATATAAGTTTATTCACAAGTAAAATAGCACTTACAACTCTGTCAATGCATCCATGTTTTTGATCTCTGATGGGATTTCGCCCTGCACATTCTTGCCTGACAGCATACTGTCCAAAGAGGTGAGAAGAACTAAAATGGTAGCTCTAAATAACTTATATATGCAATATATAGAAATATCTTTTCTTGTACTTCTTTTTATAGAAAAATATGTCTTTATCTGCCATTTATACTAATTTGAATTGGATTTTCTAGGAAACCTCACAACATATGAATGTGGATTTTTTATGTGACCTCACATGAGTCACAGCATAACTTGCACCAATTTGTGCTGCTGCATTTGTTTGTGTGGGGATCATATCAGAAAAAATGTGATTACACTACCCTTTTTTTTTTGTTGAACTTTCTGAATGTGTATTGGCCAGTATTTTTTCCTTTTCTTTTGTTTTATTTTGTTCTTGGACTAATGTATTGAATGGTCATGACTTCCAGCTTTGTTCACGTGGTGGCTTTTGGGGGTCATGTATTGGACTTTCTAAATCTCAAAAGTTTAGAAGTCGAAATATTGCCACCAGAATATTAGTTGAATAGTGATGATATGGATTGGTATCTGCGCTTGGTTTGGTGTCATTGATAAATTGGAGTTACCACAGCAATGGATCTACTTTTGAAATTTTTTTATAATTATTGTTTTCTCAGCAGATTATGTAAGTTGGCTTTCCGACTGCACTTATGAGTTGAAAAGTTGACAAAGCATGCCTTTAGGTGTCAATTCAGCCAACATGTCGATTATACTTAAGAAAAGCATGATTGACTGTCAATTTGTCTACCATGAGATGCTTTGATGCTTACATCTCAACTTCAAATACACAAGATGGTATTGCACTCGATTTTAAGGGCTTTAACCAAGTGGTCACTAGATGGAAGTTGTATCCCCTACAGTAATTCTGATGCACAAAAAAATAAAGAGTATTGCACGAATTTCAAAAAGTAACTTGAGGACTTACATTCTTGTTATCCGTGGTGGTGTTGTATAGCTGCAATTCACCCATTCCCAGTGAGTTGGGAGACAAGGGTCACCTTCATTTGCCTGGAAACTTTCAGCAGACATGGAGAGGAGGGCGTGGAGAACATTCACTGCCATCCAGAAACAAGACTAATTAGCTTACAAGTAAATAAGATGCCTCATCTGTCACATTTTTCCTTTTATGGAATTACTTATCTTACCATCCTGTGCATTTGTATTGGAGGCTACCTGGACATACTTGCTTATTTCAATCGCATTAAGGAGTGGCCCTCGAGTAGAATCCCTAGTCTTCACAAAGGAGAATGACAGGACGAACTCGAGAGTTACATTCATGTAGCTTGGCTCATATAGGGTGTAGCTTCCATTTGCATTTTCAGCTATATTCACAACAGCATTACTATAGTCGGGCATGTAAGGCTCCTGCATTTTAAATTTCCGCGTTTCATTCACCCCCAACTCTTCAATTTCAGCAAAGTATGCATAAGCTCGGGCATTTGCAGGGAAATCCTCTAGGTCTAACCTGTAAGTAAGCATCCCTTTTGTGCCAACTACTGCAGTTTGCATTACTTTCACAGGTGGATATTCTCTTGTATTAACATTTATGTTCTTTGTTGTATTAATTCTTTCTGTGCCAGATGCCACTCCCACAAGATAATTTTGCCTCTTTTCAAGATCTGAATCCCATATCCGGTCATAAGGATCATCTGGATACCTGGCAAATTGGGTAAATCTCAACTTCAAGTGGATGATAAACATATCTATATGCTTTTTGCTAAATTTTCCATCAGAATTAAACGCTGAAAGGGAAGTTATTGCAGATTGAGTTCAACATCAACTTCAATTGATATGTTTGTTTAAGCAGCTGATAAACATGTATGTACTTCTGCAAAATTACCTCACAGCTTCCGTGCTGGGAGCCCCAAAATTTATTCTTGCGGCTACTTTTAAGTAGAAATCATCCTCAAAGTCTGTAGCGTACATGGAAAGATTCAAGGGCCTCAATTCAAGAGTGGAAATAAACGGAGAACCAGTTGTGGCGCAGCACAAGCACACATCAATGGCATTTGAGGGTGCCCTGATGATCATCTCCTTTACATACACTGTAGAACCATCCTGCACGGTCACCGTTGCCCACTTCGTGGCGTCCAAGTAGAGCTGAAACTTTGGATAGGTGCCCGAGCTGCCCGAGCTTCCGTACAGGAAGGTTGCTCTAACGAGGTATCGCCTTCTCTCTTCGGTGCTTAGAGTGTAACAGTACTTGTTGCCGTCTGTGGAAAGTCACGGCGCCTCTGGTACTGCGATGAGCCTCCATTCGGATTTTCCACTGCCACTGATTTTCCATGGCTCGTGATTCCAGCGTCCGTCATCCATTCTAGCCCGGTGCTCGCGTCAGTGTAGTTTTTGGTTCCTCCACAGTCTATACTGATGAATTCTGCGCATATTTTTCGTTGCTTGTCTGGTCATTTGCATAATTTGTATTTGTTTTTTATAACAGCTTATTTGTTTTTGGCAACGGAAAAGAACCATTTGTTAGGTTGTTTTTGAAAATTGTTCTGCGGAGAGTTTTCAGAAAACAGGCCCGCTGTAACATTTTCACTTGAAAGAGAAGAACTATAACAAGCAGTACAGTTTTCTGGTTTCAAAAATATAGGAAACTAAACGCAGAACAGGAAACAGAGAACAGAATACGAATTCAAACTATGTTCTACCGTAATAGGAGATAGAAACTCTGTTCTAGTTCCAAAAGAATGGACTGCAAATAGCATGTGTTTTTGAGAGAGAGAATTTGTTTCCTTCTCTTACTGCATAGATATACATAATATAGAACACATATACATAAAATATATTGAGAGATCATACCTTTGACTTGGGATAGAGAGGGTGGAACCAGGTAAAGAATTAGCAGAAGAAGGTAATGGAAGATTAAGGCCATTGAAGATTTGAGGAAGAAGGGGAAAACAGTGCTGTGGAACTGGACTCCTGTTTTAACTTGTCAGTGGGGTTGATGGTATTGAAGACACTTTCCGTGGTTTCCAAATCTTACCCATCCATGATCTTTTACCCTACCCGCCTGAGTTACCCTTGTTGCTTCTTCTGCTTTGTTGATTGATGGGGCTAGGCTTGTCAATGTCCACTCAAATTTGGATCTTTGCCTCATTTTCAAATCTGCTTTTTCCTTCTAATTTTATTTTCCCACCCTTGAAAAGGGGGTTCCAAGTTCATTTCAGGTTTGCCTTTTCTTGCTTTGGAAAAGCAAATGAGCATATGACAGCAGCTTATGCCAAAAGGCACTAGAAGATATTTTCATTTTCTTTTTTGAAATTTTGAAGGATAAATCTACGGCAGACGTAGAAGGGACTTTCCAAGCTCTCTTATTTTGGATATTTTAGAGTGACAAGTCTATTCTTTTCTTCTTTGTCTTTTTAAGTGTTTGGAAGATATATGTGTCTATCCCTTCAAATAATGTGTCTCTATTTGATGGTTAATCTGGACCATTCACTTGATACATCAGATTAACTTTTATTTTACTCAATCCAGATGTAATAGAAAAAGGGAATGGCTGGAGGGACACATTTTTTTAAAAAGAATTACTTTTTAGAAGGCTTATGAAATTTTGAAATAATATGATTTCGAAGGCCTATTATTTTTTAAAGAAAAAAAAGAAAGACAAAAATCAAGATATATAAATATATATATATATATAGAGAGAGAGAGAGAGAGAGAGAGAGAGATGGTGTGTCCCACCCAACCTGCGAGTGGTCTAAAAATCTTCTGTGATCTTGTACTGGAGAAAATCTGGATGAAAGACGATGATCATATGTATAATTTGCGTGAATGTACTATGAATTGAGGAGATAGGGTGTGGAATCTTTTAAGAACTGTTTGGCCATGAAAGCATCTATAAAGCAAAGACAAAGTGAGAGGGAGCATTAATTATTTTGCAGCCTTTAATTTCACTTTTGCTTTCCTTGCTTTGTCCCTTTGAGCCAATTTAACTTTAGCTTTTTGAAGGTTCAAAAGTGTGCAGTTTGATGTTCCTTTGCACGAGGACATTTTGTTTATCGTGGTCCCCATTCTCCTCTCTTTTTTTATTCCTTTGAATTCACATATCCCTTCTTCTTTTTCTTACTAAAAACTATTTTAGGTGCTGATTTGACTGCCATTTTCTTGTCAGTAAACACCTATATTTTCATTTTTACATTTTCTTTACCAAAAATATTACGAAAAAAATCTAATAACTTAAAGTGCATGATTCTGCGCCTAAAATACCCGGCCCAAGCCCAGCTACCCGACAAGTCAACCAGTTGGAATCGGGCCGGGGTAAATTCTTCGCTTGGCAATTCACCCCCGCTCCAAACTCGTCCCCTGCCCCATTTTTGCGACTTTTTTTTTTGGAAAAATTACCATCCAATTAGCCTATAAGAATTTACTAGCTAGAGTTTGAATATTAGAAATATTGATCTAAATTTTTTAAAAAAAATTGAATTTAAAAATAATTTAATTTCTTAATATACCATTTAAAACTTTTTTACATTCAAATTATGAATATAAATTTATAAAATTATAAATATTTTGCTAGAGATTGAAAAAAAAAAAGAAAAAGAGATTTGGTTGCAGGTATAGACAAGTAAGCAGTTGCGCCCCCGGGGGTCGCTTCGGTGCAGTCAGGGGAAGGGGCAGTCACCCCGCAGGGGCGTGGCGCGGGGAGGGGATGGTTTGCAGGCACTCGGCGGGGAGGCAACAGGTTGCGCCAAGGAGGGGGATGTAAGTGCCCAAGTGGAGGTGGGATTATTTTGAAAAATAAAAATATTTTGTGAGTAAATAAAATTTGTTTAAAATTTTCTGAATTATCAAATTTTAAAATAATCTACCGCATAATATATTTTGTCAAGCTAATGCTTAGTAATTTTTTCAAATTTTTGTCCCCCAATTTAAGATGGAAGAAGAATGGAGCTCTAATTTTAATCATAATATATTGTATCTTTGTAATGACCCGATTTCTAAAAATTTTTAAGGTTGGGGACCAAAGTGTAAGAATTAAATTTCAAAGGATTAAAGTAGAAAATTCCCAGGGACCAAATTGTGAGAAGCTAAAAGCCGAAGGGCTGGGTTGCAATTTGACAGAAATTTCTGTCAGGAACAGTGGCCGAATGCTGTTCCTCGTCGATTTGGCCACGTTTTGTGATGATTTGAGTCGGCTTTTGGCACGTTATTGCGTGTATTTGAAAGCTCGACGGAACCCCTCAATCAATTGAGGTCTCGGGTGAGAGGAGAGGGAGAATTTTGGTGCTTTCTCGCCGACCAAGCGCACGGACGGCCGACGGCTTTCGAAGCTTTTGGAGAGCTTTTTGACCGGCTTTTCCACCGATTGGAAGGCCTGTGAGGCTCGCCGGAGGGTGTTCTACAAGTCTTCAATCTTGATCGGCAAGGTGAGGCTTCCTTCTTTCAATTTCTTTTTGGTTTTTTTGTTCCGGGTCTGTTCAGACCCGGACAGCTGTTTCCGGGTTGTTCTTCCGGGCGACAGGGATGAACCCGGATGAGAATCCGGGTTCGGGCGGTTCGGGCCCGGGTTGGGTCCGACCCGGGCCAAAGGGGTTTGGCCGGACTGGGCCAGTTGGGGCCCAGTCCTAGGTGGGCTTGGCTCGCGGGCCAGCCCACGGGAAAAAAAAAAAAAAAAAAAAGTGTTGGGCTTGGGTCGGCCCAACTGAGTGGGCTGGCCCAGATGGGTCCGAGCCGCGGCTGAGCCGAGCCGAGCCGATGGGCTGGCGGCTCAAGCCGAGCCGCGGCTCAAGTCAAAAAAAAAAAAAAAAAAGAGAAGGAAAAGGGAAAGGGTTTTGACCAAGCCGGCCGGGACTTTGACCGGCCGGTTCAGTGGCCATTTTGGCTCGGATTTGGGAGGTTGGACCGGTTCTGGATTCAGGGAGAAAATACCTATCAGACCAAGTGGGTTCGGGAAATTTTGGGTGCCCGGTTCGAGGTGAACCGGCCGATTTTGTGTGTTGATACTCGGATGACCGGTTCACTGGTTTTCAGGTCGGTTCTTAGGGAGTTTGGACCGGTTCCTGGTTCAATATGATAAAACCTAGTTAACCGTGAAGTTTGGTGATTTTTGGAGGTCCGGTTCAAGGTGAACCAGTCTCGGTTTGCATGCCGATGCTTAGGATTAGGGTTTTTGGCCCGGTTTGGAGCTGGTTTGAGCCATTTTTGGCCGGTTCATAGTGGTTCCTAGGGTTTTTGGGCCTTCTGAATCCGATTTTGAGGGTTTCGTGGCCGTTTGAGTTGAGTCGGAGGTAGTTTTAGATCGGGCTAAGCCGGTTCGTGGGTTTTAGAGACCGGTTCGTTGCGGTTCGAGTTTTGTGGAGGCTGGTTCCGTAGTTTTGAGGGTGGTTAAGTAGATTTGTTCTGAATTAGTGAGTCGCGTAGGTTCTGGTGACAGGTCGGGTTGCCTCGAGATGCGTGCCAGGGGGCCAGTTTGGGATTTTAGTCCGGTTTGAGGCTACCGAGCCTGTTCCTTGTGCCGGTTTTGCCGTTGGTGATGGTTTTGTGTGATTTTGATTGCAGATTCGCAGGCAGGGGCACACTCGGATCACTGAGTCGGGTTAGGTGACTCGGGACTCTCGTTTTGGCTTAGCGTTTGTACTGTGAGTGATGATACCCTCTCTATGCTTGTGTTTTCATACTGTGATTTTCAAACATGATGATTATGTGATTTGAAAACTGTACTTTGATTATGCGTTATACCCGGGATATGTGTTATGTGTTTGGTGAACTGTCAGTGAGCTATGTTAGTATGTGATACTTGTTTTGAGATGTGAACTGTATATGTTACGTATACCTGTTTTTGACTATATGTGAGGATGGTATCATCTGATGTGAGGCGGCAGAGGCCGCGGGCGGCAGAGGCCGCGATGTGATGTGTGATGTGAGGCGGCAGAGGCCGCGGGGCGGCAGTGGCCGCGGATGTGATATGCACTAGTGCGATTCCTCCGATCGTCGAGATGGTGGGTTCCTCCGATCGTGAGAAGACGAGACCGGGGTCTCGTGATGTGATGTGCACGGGGTGGCAGACTCAGCCGACGGACGGTGGACTGTAGCGTACGGGGAGTACCTTGGCCCGGCGATGAGATGAGTTGTGTGGCTAAGGGCTCAGCCGGCGGACGGTGTGCTACCGTAGCGTGCGGGGAGTATACTGACCCAGTGATGTGATGTGTACGGGATGGCAGGCTCAGCCGGCGGATGGTGTGCTACCGTAGCGTGCGGGGAGTACACTGGCCCTATGATTGATGTGATGTGATGATTGATTACCTTGATACCTCACATATGTGTTTGATTACTGCTCACTGTATATATGTGTATGTATGATTTTTGTA